GCAAGAAGGAAATCAGCGGTCGAGACAAGAGGTCGTCATTTGAGCAGATATATTTTTTGGAATCACATGCTTTGTTAACTCTTATAATTAACATTTAATAAACATTTATACTTAACCAACAATTTACATTGTAACAAACGTACACATGGAAATGTGGACATCGAGTTACGAATTCAAGTGAAGTGGTTGGGATTCTAATGCGGTATTTCTTAAATATCCTAGTTTTCCACGCCAACTAAATTTGTTTACTTCCCTTTGACTTTTCGGAGACTGAAACAATCCCGATGGACACTAAATTTATAAAAATAATTCTTGTATTTTTAAATCAAAAATTAATTTGCACTTACCTACATATGTACATATATGCTGTGGCACTTTTGTTGAAAAACATATTTTTTTTCACTGAAATAGCAATGCAAACAAAATCTCTCTGTCGCTTTATTTTGAAAATGCTAGTCATGCAATTAGAGGTGGTGAATTCTCTGAAGAATCACAAAATAGTGAAACTACACAGAATTTTAAGCAGTTGGGTTGAAAAATTAAAGAGTTTGGAGATATGATGGCTGGTCAGAGGCATATAAATCAAGTAATGCGCGACCTAGTTAGCAACATAGTATCACTACATGCTAAGGCTGAGAAATGTAAAAACCTACCCAAAAGGATTATGGTAGGAAAAGCGTCCCATGTATCCTCTTTGGGTTGAGATGTAAATACCCCAAACAGTGTGAGATTTTAGGCTTTTTACCAGCCACAAATCAGCCAAAAATATAAATAAAACAGCGCAGGCCACTTATCCTACAAATGCAATTACATAAACGGTCGGCGCCAATCGTGCTGCTCAATGAGTTAATTAGAACTACATTTTGACCAACCTAAACGGTTTAAAGTCAGGTGAAAAGTCGGAAATCATTATAGTGGATATATAAATAGAAGGCAGAAAAATGGAAGGGCTAATTGCATTAATTTTTGACATTGCTCAGGTACACTTAAGAACTTTTTTTTATAAATATATGAATATAGAGTAAAGTCAGCCGGACGTTTCAAAATTCTGAATATCAGTTATATGAGGGCTAAGGCAAGCTTTGGCACGATTTTATCCATTTTAGGCACAAAAATACGCTGTTATTAGAAAAAGACGCTCTCTCAATTTCAAAAAAATAACTCCCACATTGGATGATATAAGTGGTATACCATAAAGTCAACTGGAAGTTCGAAAATTTTTATATTAGTTTTATAATTTTTATATTAGTTATATTATATACATTTTCCCTGAATTTCAATAAGATATCTCACAGATCGACCGATATTTTCGACAAAAAGTTAGCCATACGCATATTCGGTATGTGAGGGTTGAACAGTTATGGCCCGATTTTTAATATTTTTAGGCTCGAGATGGCATACCTCAAAGACCCTATTTGTGCATAGTTTTATCCGAATAGTAATTAAGCTGATCTATCTAACTATCGAGCTTACTTCTTTTGTGTTGTTGAAGTTTAGCTGTGTCAGCATCTCCAGCGAGAAGATGAAGGTTGTAGAATTACTGGTCATGGTTTACTTAGTATCTTTTCTTCGTGGTAAAATGTTTTTCCGGTAATTTGATTAGTTGCGATGGTGTAAAAGATTATGAATGTACCGTTTAGTGTTGCAGATTCTTTGTTGATAAAATTTTCGTCGTTGAATTCATTTAGAAAAGGTTTTCCTGGTCCAATTTTTTCTAGAAATATGTTGAATGTTGACCTCCGTGCAGCTTGGCAAACGAATTTTAAGATGACTATTGATACAAAGATGTATACTTGAATCTACTACATTGTTATTTAAACATTTTGTGACGACGATATATTACAGAATTATGCTGGAAACAGTCACCGATATTTCTCCCTTCCGTACTTACCGCCCGTATCAAACGAAAGTTGTCAAAAGTTATGCCCGTAGTGGCAACGTGGAAATCAGTTGTTCTCTTTTGTCTTCATTTCACCAATGTTGCCATTGCTCAATTTTTAAACATGATTTTACACACAATTTATTTTTTAGCTATAATTTTTCATAATGTAAAAAATCAAAACAAAAATCCAACCATTAAAAATAGTTTACCTATTTTTAAATAAGTCTATCCGACTGTGATTTTGAGTTATTTTAAGAATATTTCAAATATAGTCAAGTTAATTTTTTAATTACTACAAAATATCGGGAATGGCAACCCTGCGTTGCAAGAGATTGCTCTCTCACTCTCAGCTCACTCGTTTTTACGGAAAAAATACAATTTTCGCGGTTATCCTACCGTACGGGCTGTTGAAGCGGTGGTGACTGTTCGTTTACATTGTGCTCTCATAAGATATGCGTCGGCGACTGTTGTGCCATAAAGCGTTAAGTTGTTCGAATTAGAAATAAAGATAAGTGTATAGTCATTAAGGTAGTAGTCTGGTAACTTGCATTTTTTAATTCTTTTTGGGGAATATTTTATTTGGAAAAATTCAATCAGTTCCACTTTGTAACATATTATTAATAGTAACTCAGAGTGTGCAAAGAAATAATTTTTGTATTTTTTGTTTGAAATTTGTTGTTTTGTAACACTGAAGTGAGCGTGATTTGGTCGCTTAAAGAAATCTAAAAATAGAAAAATAAAAAAATTTATTGTTCTGTGTCATTCTAGTTGGATAGATTGTTTAAACAATTTCGTTGAAAAATAAATAAATGGTTTTCTAAGTAGAACTCTGGCTGTTAAATAGAAAGTTATTTATAAATAAAAGAATTGAAAATTAAATTGATGAGTAGAATAACACATTCAAATTACCGCCCAATCGGTTGGATAGAACTGTACTGTAAGAACGTTGTTTTGAGAAAAAAGTTTCAACAACAGATTAATTATTTTATATAATAAAAGTGCGTACTACTACGAGACACTGACGTAGTGGTGCTATAATTTCGTCAATATCGGTTTTCGTTCTAAAATTTTAAAGTTTATTTTTAAATAAAGTACTTTCGAAATCGATTTTTTCAAACCAAGTTACCAGACTGCTATCTTAAATTGGAAGTTTTATTTAACAATCTAGTGATCGAGCTAAAGAGTGGATTATAAGGTAGACGATTCATGGAGTAATCCGTTGCAATATTTGCAAGGAGTTATATTTTTATACTCCTGCAACATGTAGTTGTTAGTTTTGGTCAACTAACGGTTTTTGTAACAACCTCAAACTAATCGAGTAAGAAATGGCGTTATAAATATATGTAAATGTTTAAGATAAAGATACGAGTTAAAATGCGGGTGACTGTCTGTCAGTCGGTCTGTCCGTCCGATCGTCTGTGCAAGCTGTAGTTGATTAAAAGTTTAGGTATCTTGATGAAACTTGGTACACATAATTCTTGGCACCAAAAGCAGTTGGAAAACAAATTGCCGTAACTAAGCTACACAATTTGATACAAGACAGTTATTTGGTATAACGAATCGCTTAAGGAAGGGGCATCTGCAGTTTAAACATTTTTTAAAAGGTGGCCCTCCCTCTAATATTTCCTAAACTACTAAAGTTATAATAACAAAATTCACTGAGGACAAATCTTTTTTGCACCGCTGCCGACAGTGTGAAAATGGGTGAAATTGGGTGATATTTCCATTCCTCATATAACGGTTTTGATTAAAACTACTAAAAGTGTGATAAATTATAAAATAAACAGGTCAGAGACTTTGATTTTTACACATAGGATGGTACAATTAAGCTTTATAGGAGTCAAATTGGACAATGAGCGTGGCACTGTCCACATTTAGGTGAACACCTCGGGATCTACTTGACCAATGAAATGTGGTTGAATTGGAAAGTGACATTATCCTGACATGACTATGTTGCAGTGGAAAAATGGACGAAAGCGAATTAAAACCAAGCCTAATTTCCATATAACGCAAATTTAAATTCCATCTGATTTTTGACCTTCCAGTATACAAATCGAGCACTAAGATGTGGACCCCAGTGTCCATGATTAAATTTGTAAAGACTACATATCGGCCAATATGTGAGTTATCTTAATAAGGTTGCGGGGGCATATTTTTCTTATAACGGTACATCTGTGTGCCTAAAATGGACAAAATCGGGTAAAAAGTTGCCCCAGGCCTTATATAAATAATATTAGGATTATAAACATCGATTGACTTTACTCCTTATATAATATATTGTTGATGGTATGTGAGGTACCTGAATGAAACTCAGAGAGAATTTCTTCCGGTAGCAATATGTAGTAATGCCAAAAAATATGTCAAATCGGGGCAATACTAACCATATCTCCATATATACATAAAATTATTTTTGTTATATGTACAAACCTTATACCGAATATGTCGGTGTGTGAGTTATTTGTTTATAAAATTGCTTGAAAATATGTTCTCGAAAATACCTTAAAAATGTCAAAGGTTAATGCAACAAGCCCAGACCGTTTTCTGCCCCCAATATGTACTGTATAGTGATTTCCAGTTTTCTAGCTGATTTTAAACCGTTTAATTGGTCAAATATGTGATATTTTAATGAAATTAAGTGAACAAGTTTTCTTAAAAATTATGTGGTTTAGCGCTGAATTACAATGTAATTGCTCTATACCTTGACTAAACCTCATATATCTAATATAATGAATTCCGATATTCTGGTTGGAAACGTCCACATATCAACTCAATTAAATTTAGCCTCTTAGGTCGAGTTAATATCACATACATAACATATATTCATTTTAAGGTGTTTTAATATAATTTTACCTGACGCGAAGTAAAGTATAACAGTAAAACAAAGTATACTATTATATAACTTAATAAATTACCAAATTTGATTGCAATTCATTCAGTATTATACAGGAATAATGAATGTTGAATTCTTTTGCATTTTTTTCTTGATATAAAGTTTTGCCAACACCTGAAGATTTTTAGCCGGCTTTAATCGTTGCAAGTTGCAAGAGTATAAAACTCTTACACCCGAACTTAGCGCTTCCTTACTTGTTTACAATAGTTTTTTATTCCATAGCTTTTCTTTTCGCAATTTAAAATTTGTCTTAAAATTTTTATTATTTATTCTTCCATTATTTTTTACAGCTGAAATGTCTACTGTTTTACAAATTTGGTTATCCACCGTTGGAGGCTTACAATATAAATTATAATTTTGCCATTAGTTGCAATTTTTTTTTCTGAAAATTATTTTTCATGCAATATATATTTCTTCATTTGACAAGATAAACGAATTTATTATATTGATATATTATATTATATTTTATATAATGATTCTATTTTCTAAATATTTTATATAGTTTTAATTATGTTTTTTGTAATATGCATCATTTCACTAATTCTATCTATTGTGAGTTTATTATTTAGTTAAATTATTCAGTTTTTATTTGTGTTATTAGATGAAATATGTAGGGGTAGTTAGAACTTTTGCGGATTAGTTCGGTTTCAATAGTCGCTTCTATATGATAAAAGATTTCCGTATATCTTCCAATGTCAATTCTGTGTATAATTTTAAATGTTCCTGTTTGTAGTTCTGTTTCTTTCTCTACTGTCCAGAGTTGTGCGTTTGAATAATCGAGCATCTATACTTCCGCCAGCCAAAGCGGTAGTAATTTTCTAGAAAATAATGTCGGTACTTATTTAAATGCGTATCCTACTTTTGTGAATTATTTGTTCTTTTTCAGTTAACACGGTACTATTTCTATCTTATTTAACTATCTCCTTACTGTAAGGTTTACTTAACTTAGTTCCTAATCTCCTATTTTACTTAACAAAAATTACTTGTCCTGGTAGATAGGTCTATATTTCTTACTTATTTTTACTGTTGTATTCGATATCCTAGTTTTGTTGAGCTAATTTCTGTTGATTTGTCTAGTCTTTTCTATGTCTTCGAGGGTAAATGTAACATTTCTATGAAAAAATGGGTCTACTGGTCTTTTTAATGATGTGGAATGAACTGATTATACTGTTATATTCGAACGTTCTTCAAAATTTCTGTGTCTACCGTTTTCTTTTATGCAACGCATTACTCTAATTAACCTTTCAAATTGTCCATTAGCTTGGCCTTTTTTTGGAAAAGTAGTGTAAACTTCTATTCCTAACTCGTCTATTACCATAAGTTTTAATGAGGCTGAAGTTAAAGATGGCTCATTGCCTATAACTATTAATTTTGGTTCTCCGAAGAAAAATATAATATATCTTAGAGGTTTTCTAACGTGTTCTATTGCTATGTTATTTAAGTTTTTTGTTACTGCGTATTTTGTAAATTTATCTAAAGCTGTCATAACTATTCTTTCTTTTGTTAAAATTATATTAATATGGATTGTGTGCCCTAGATATGTTGGAAATGGAGTTTCTGCTAATTTCGGTTGGTTCGGATGTCTTCGTACATATTTTCTTTACAAACTGTGCGGTTAATTGTTTTATTTTATTGAACATACCGAGAAAATATTTTCCTTCAAGAATTCGTTTTTTATTTTCGGTCGCATAGGATTTTAGGGGTTCCTTTAATATGACATTCTCCTGTTATTCTTCGGTGCGAATATCTTCAACAAATTTTTTGTGTATCGGCTTTTAATATTGCTAAAGTGAATAGGATAAATATTTTGAATCATACCCATTATTCTTTCCTCTATGTGAATTTCATTTATAACAGATGGATTAAGGTATTGTTTCATGTAGGAAACGAGTAGTTGTTCATTGTACTCCGGATCTGTAATGATGTGTCTATGAACAGTTGGAAAAATTATCTTAAATTGATATGAAGATATTTCATCATTCTTAAAAAATATTTGATTCGTGAGCACATTAATTATAACTTCTCTACAAGGGATTGAATTATGACTTGAGCTTTCATGGTTATTAATAGTAGGTGTGAGTGAATTGATTTTTTTTGGTATTCTTGAAAGGTTGCAGACGCCCACACATGTTTTACTAGGTTTGTGGAGGAGTTCGTTACTATTGGCGTTGATGGTCAGTAATTTTTTTTTTTTTATGGTAGAGGTATTTCCTAAGTGAATGAGGTCACCATATTATAGAGAGCATTCTCCTCTCATTGGTAGCATAGTCTTCTTCAGCCTTACTACCATCTACCATCTTGCGATAGGAGGGAACCTAAAGCAAAATCGGAGACATCGGTTATTAGCTCAAAATCTTTCTCAAAATTTGGATGTGCTAAAACTATATCTTTTTTATTTTATCGAGTGCTTCGTTATCTAATTTCATTTAAATTTTCTTCGACTGTCGTTTAGGGACATTACGGACTCTTCTTAGGAGTGCTGTTAATAGTTTAGCTATTTTTGAATAGTCCTTGATAAATCGTCGGTAGTAAGTTGGTTCCTTTAGATTTTGTGGCACTGGAAAATTTGCATTAGTCTAATTGGACTTTCATATTTCTTCGCTTCGTTTTTGACGAATATTATTACATCATAGCATCTTACTCTTATATGTTGACAAATAATGTCATCTAGTGCTCTTTGAAAGGAAATCGGAAATATTCATACTTTCCGTTGTTTATGGAAAAGCAGTTTTTTCTATACAGACTCACGAACTGGTGAAATCCACTCTTTATATTAGTGTCAGTAAATATAAAATTATATTCAAATATTTGCAAGGAACTCGTTAATCTCAAATATAGGGTATTTATTGGGGATCGTAACTGAATTGAGCTCGCGATAATCAACGACCATTCGAAACTTCTTTTCACCGAATACATCTGAGTTTTTGATAACGATAAATAGTTCTATGGAGATTTAGATCTCCTTCTTATTCCGTTAGCAAAAAGTTCTTGGCGTTCGACTTCTTCTTTTAATACTAGTGGATGCTTTTATGGTTTGAAGTAAACTGGGGTTTCGGAGTCCGGAGTTTAGAAGTCCGGATTTCACCTTTTACGAGAGTGGTGTAGGTGCGCTTTTGGTCAGGATCGGAAAAAAGTTTTGTACACTTATTAATAATATTGTTAATTTGTGGTTTTTTAAACGTGCGGAATATCGACTCCGATATTATTATCTTCGTGTGATATTCGCTGCTTTAGCGCTATATTTATGTATATTCTCACCAATTGTCATTAAATTTTTATCGGTATGGGTAATTGCTTTCAATTGTTTGAGTATATCGTTGTCTACTATGTCTACTCAGTGAAACGACCTTACATTTGGTATTATGAAGAATTTGATTTTTCCTTCTGCTAATCGAAAGATGTCTACAAAAGTGTTCAATCGTCCTCCCAACTCATTTTACGGTAAGGAGATTTTCGTGCAAAATTGCGTTCCTAATCTTAGTTGATTCTTATTAGATCCAGTATAAGTCAAAAATCGAATCTAAAAGTGAGTAGTATCAAGATCATCTTGTTTTGCAGTATCATACTAGTTATAGCGAGAAACGTCCTCATAAATTCCGTTCGGAACTGATTCTTCTTGGTAATCGTTTAGGTTTGTTGCTTCCGTGTTAGTACGTTACGTTGGTCGACTGTCTTGGAAGGAACCAGGTCTTTTTTGGTAATTAACTAGTCTTGAATGTAATGACTGGACCCCGATGGAGATGGGGTCTGTGGTTTTTGGTGGCAAGTTCGGTCTGTTATTAAAAGAAGTAATGAATAGATTTCTAACCCCTTAGGGAGTTTGGGGGTTATTCGCATAGTTATTGAACCTTGGTGTGAATCCCTGTTTATTTATTATTATTATATTGTACTTAGTTATTACGTGGAACGGGTGATTACTGAGCTCCGTAGGCGAAAGAAGCGTAAGGGTATTGGGAATAACGATTTGGTTGACGACCAAATGCATGTTGGTCGAAGTTTTGTATAGGCGAATAAGAAGACGTTAGTTTAGGTTAAAATACTCTGTTGTTATAAAAAATATTATGTCGAGGAAGTCGTGGTGATATGGTTGGTTATTTGGTTTAAGCGTATGATTAATTCTGTAGGTCATATTTTCTATTTTTTGGCACAGTTGTAGGGCTTGAGGCAAGGTTGTCGGTTCTCGCATTATAAAGAGACGAGGTAAATAGGCTTTAGCCCTCTAATGACTGTGTCGGGGACTTTGTCCCTAAATGAATAAGTCATAGTCCTTATGGACTCGTCCCTAAGGCATTTCACAATGTCAGGTATTTTATCCAGGTCGTTTTTATAAGTGCGTTCGTGCGTAACGCTGTGGTCAGTTTTTGTTTTTTATAAAAGTTATTTACTTGTAAATTTGTATATCTTCTTCTTATAACAATTGTATGATTTTTTTTATAATAATAGTTATCCTTCTTTTACTTGCGATTATCTTTTCTGTACTAGTAAATTTTTTTTACTCTTGCAACATGTTACTAGAGAATATAATAGTTTTGTTCACCTAACGGTTGTTTGTATCACCTGAAATTAATCGAGATAGATATAGGTTTATGTATATATAAATGATCAGGATGAAGAGACGAATTGTGCAAACTGTAACTTGAGTAAAAATTGAGATATCGTAATGAACTTGGTATAAATGTTTCTGGGTAAAAAAGAGAGGACGGACCACTGACACGTCCATAAAACGTCATTAACCTAACAAATATAAAGTTCCATAACTAAGCACTAAATAAAGGCTGCACCTTCGGGCACAATTAGCGTTAGAATCGCCATTTTAATATACTATCGTAAGACCTTATATCTTGATATCACGTTCCATTGTTGTATTCAAACCAATTGGTGCCCTCAATGAAACTACTTATCTCCAAAACGATTCTTCCTTGCTCTTTTCGATTTGGCAACTACGGCAAGTGCTATTATAGGGCATACCTTTTTTTTTAACGCTTGGTTTCCAAATAGCCAATACCCCGTTATGGTTGCTGTAAGTCTATATATAATTTTCCTGGACCTATGTAATAAGTCCAATCTCCTTAATTCTTATAGCAGAAAGTTTTGTCATTTTCCGTATGAAAATGTCTATGAGCAGTTGGGGCAGGATCATATTTAGCGCATCATCCTCTGAATTCCATTTTTCTGATGTTATATTGTTTATTTAATGCTGACCACTAAACCTCCATATGTAAGGATAGGTGTAATGACGGCCGTATACATCCACATGACTATATTTGGTATTGGGCCCCAGTTTATGCTGAATATCTTCTTGCACGTGTAATTCGTTATATAAGCTACGTTTCTCAATATTAAATTTCTAGTTCATTTTGGTATCTATCTTCCCCCACCGAGTGAACAGAAATTGAGAAATTCGGCCCATAGGTGTAACCTCCGTAAAGCTCTTTCCATAATCTCACGGATTGTGGAAGGAAACAGCCCTGATACCATGAACACTATATCGTCTGCATAAGCTACTGCTAGCACTCCTCCTCCGTTGAGTTAGAATAGTGATGCTATAATAATTCTGTTCATAAGCATTGATTGAATCCATCTATACACCATGTCGTCTATTCCGTTCTGTGTCAGAGACTTAGTGATCGTGCTTACTTCTATGTTGTTAAAAGCTTCTTCTATGTCCATGATTGAGGTGTAATAACTTTTCTATTACATTTACTGCTTCGTGTAGGACAGTTTCTGTTGATCGACCTCTAATGTATGCATGTTTTGCAGTCTAAGATTGCCAAATTTTAATCTTATAACTTTCATTGAAGGCTGTCCTTAATTGAGTTCGTATGTTCTTAATATCGTTGTTCCACCAAGGAGGTGACTTCCATTTTTTTAGAACAGTAAAGGGTGTGGATTTGTTAAAAGAGGTGGTTAAAATTTTTTCAATCTTCTCCACCTCTGCATCCAGCTCCTGAACATTTCTGATGTTATTGCCGTTTCCGTTCTTCTAGGACTTCGATATTGGAGGTGAGTACTGGATTTCTAGCGAATGGTGAAGAGTATCCGGGAGTGATCTGGCATAGATGGCTCTTCGTTGACCCTCCAATCATTAACGACTAAGCTATCTGTCTCCGTTGATAGCGTGAGATCGAGGACTGCCTCCCAACCCGAAGATCTATCCGAAACTGGGAATATGAATGTTGACTTGTTGCCTCCATTACATATAATACTTAGTTTGCTATTTAGTATGTATTGCAAGAATGACTCACCTCTGATATTCATACTGGAGCTTCTCCACAGGGTTTGTCTGGCATTTGCGGCACACCCTATTAGGATGTCTTCTCCTTTGTTGTCATCTGTAAAGTTCTTGGACGTTTCTGGTGGCACGTCCCTGTCGTGGGCCATGTAGGCAGAAACCAAAAATAAACTACTCTTTTTTTTTTTTGTTCCACCTTTACCACTGTGGTGTCTGCTGTGCTGTAATTAGAACAAAGAAATGCATTGCAATTTCTAGTGATGAGAATTCAAGCCAAGCTTTTACTACTTTCGTTGCGTTTGTTAAAGATGTTATAAATGCTGCTGGTCAGCTCTTTAACCACCCAGGGCTGCTGAATGATGCTGATGTCGAAGGCACCTTCATTTATGAGGGTAAACAGACTATCTGTAACTCTTTTAGAGTGCTGCGGATTTATCTGTGCACATTTTATATGATTGGTCATCGTCTATTCTTTGATCCCGATAGCTCTTAGCAACTAGCTGTTGTCGACGACCTCTTCCATGTCGTCTTTATCAGCCGTTTGGCCGCCTTAAAATCACTTCATCTTGGCCTTACGTATACCGAAGCTGATTTTGTTGTCAGCTTTTGATAGAGTCTGTATTAGCTCTTCGCAGATGGACACTTGGATCGGTCTGCTTGTTTTTTTTGGCTTCTCCTCCTTGTTTTACAGCTTTATAAATCGGAGGAGTTTTTCGTCTGGCTTCTCTAGCTAGGGGCAACAAAATTAGAGCACGAGGTCTTTTTGGGATGTCCTTAGCGAGTATGAGCTTCACTTTAATGTCTTCAAAGACGTCGCTAATTTTAGCAACGCTACTCGTTAGAAAGTCCAAGGAGGCCAGGTCCGTACATTTGATGACCCCGTAGCCCCTAAGGGTCTCCGAGGAGTCAAACTCCGGGTGGGAACTCGCCGGATTACGTACGTAGCTTAGAACTAGACTCGACAATCTGACATCGATCTCGACCCATCTCTCCAGAATGGTGTTCGGCGAGGAGAAGGATTTATCTATAATGGACACCTGGAGGCTGTCCACATCACTGAAGTGTCTTGCTGTTGTATTCAGCTCGGCTCCCCGCCGCTTTAGCTTTTTTTTTTTGGCAGAGTTTTCAACGATTCCTTGTGGGAGCGGTTCCTTTTCTGGGAGCGGCTTAATTTTACGGCTTCAGTGGGAGGTTCTGATGGCTTACTTTTCAGAAAACTTTCATATTCCTACACTATTTGTTTTTGGCGCTTCATCTCTTCGACATCAGCCGAGAAGCCAGCAGCCTGATCCTTGGCTATCTTCCCGAGTACGCATACTACCATCTGACACCGGCTTTTCCTCAGTTGATTTTGAGACTCTACGCTATTTGCGCTGTACTTCACCTTTGGCACCCAGTGTACTCTGGTTGGCACTCATGGCTGCTTTGGAAGTGGATGATTCCATATTTAGGTACTTTGGTTGGTACCCTCATTTGTCATTTGTTGTTGTTGTTAGTTTTGTTTACATTCATGTTTGGTCCTACGAGTCAGGCAGAAAGTGTTGGTTACTCGTTCGCAAAGCCGGTATGCGTTGAGAAGGCGTTTACTACATCCGACCTTGCCCGGTCATCCGAGGGGGGGGACAATTCATCTCGACTTAGGAAAATAAAGGCACAATCGATGCATAACATTGGATACCTACAGACGCCAAGCAATAACGGATGGATATCCAGTGAAGAGTCTCTAGACCTGCTAATGGATACTCACTTCCCAGGCAGCTCTGAAAACCACATGATGGAGTATACACTACGCGGAGGAGTAGAAAAAGACGACATCCCTGCATATATCGTGTCAAGTATTAATGTATACTGGGCGATAAGTAGTTTCGAGCCCTTCAAATCACAGGGAACAGACGGCATATTCCCTGCTCAGTTACAGCAACCTCAGAACTACATAATTGCCTGGTTAACGACCATACTAAAAGGAGCATTACAATTAAACAAAACCCATTATGAAGGAAGGTCAAGGTGGTATATATACCAAAAGCGGGCAAAAGCTCTCACACTAACCCAAAGGATTTCAGACCAATTAGTCTTTCTTCATTTCTATTAAAATCGCTGGAAAAGCTAATAGAAGTACACATAAAAATCAGCCTAAACCCAGAGAAAATAGCAATTTTGAAGCATGCGTATTCTAAGAAAAAATCCCCATAAACTGCACTAAGCTCAGTGGTAGTAGAGATCGAAAATCTCTGGAGATAAAACAATACACTATCGTAGCCTTCCTAGACATAGAAGGCGCTTTCAATAACATCCAGCCTCTCAGCCTCTGTCCCACTTGGACAGCTTAAGACGCCGGTCCGTTGTGATACCTACAAAACTCCTATAATCTGGATCAAAAGACCCTTACAAGTCGACGAGACGCTTTGTGCTTACTACAAACTTGTTAAGACGGCCAATATCCATTTTGGATAAGTATTCAGGCCCGCCAAAAGTGTGATTGCCGAGATATTTCAATCGCAGCTTAGCGAAAGCCGGACATTGGAGGAGAAAATGCAGGGATGATTCCACCTCGCCCTCCTCCATGCAACTTTGGCAACTAGCATCGGGTAGTACTCCAAGCCGTACCGCATGAGTGCCCATTGGACAGTGTCCAGTGAGAACTCCTACCATAGCGGCGAGATGCACTTTGCTCAGGGCGAGAAGTTCCCCTGACCTCCTGCGATCCACTCTTGGCCAGAAGGATCTCGCTGTCGCACAGGACTTGGTCGTCGACCAGCGTCTGCTGAGTGCATGCGAGGTCCATTGATCCAAAGCTAGAGCGCAAGACGCTAACGGAGATCCAACCCGATCCCATTCCGATGTGAGCGGAGAAAAGGTGCCCCCCCTGGCTAGCTCATCGGCTTTGCAGTTTCCAGCGATTCCGCTGTGACCAGGCACCCAAACGAGCCCGATGTTGAAATAGCCAGACTCTATCTCTAAAGAGGACAGACACTCCTTGACTAGCTTTGATTGCACGGTTCGCGCGCTCAAAGCTAGTATTGCCGCCCCACTATCGGAGTGGATGCTTACTTCTACAAACAAGGCTGAACTACGCAGCAGTACTTCTAACGCCACCTTGATAGCAGCCACTTCAGCCTGAAAAACACTACAGTGATCCGGTAGCCTGAAGCTAAGACTGACGGAGAGCTCCTTGCAGAAAACCCCCCCTCCTAGCTTCGACCCATCCGCGAAAAAGCTCACCGCGCCTCTTCTCCAGCGGCTTCTTCCCATCCACATGTCCCTCGTTGGAATATGAGCGGAGAAGGAACCGCCTCGAGTGGCCTCAGTGCGGCAGTGATCTATATGTCCTTGTTCGGAGTCCCCCTGCGGGTAGGGGTAAGAATTAAACCGCGGTAAGGCATGCCTGTTGTAAAAGGCGACTAAAAGCCAAATGCACTATGACTGTTATTATGTACCTTTCTCAGTAATATCAGCATAGTATGTCAGAAATAGTGCTATAATACTCAGCTTGAACTGATATTATAGACTTTAAATGAAAAAGCAAATAAAAAGACATTTGAAGTTCAAGCGACAAATGTCACCAGTCATTGAGTAATGGGTTGCTCAACTGGCAGTAGTTTCGGCTACACAGTCTTACCGGAGACTTTCTGGTACCACGGGGAGCAGAAAGCCCTTGGACTTCGGTCCAATCTGCTCATTGGGTTATGGCCCCTTTGGGGAGATTCGTGGTGGCTGTGGTTGAAACCTAAATGCAGAAAGAACTGAACATTCAGCCTAACTGTTTTTTCAGTTCTAAAATAAAGTTGCAAAAAGCAACTGCTACACTGCCACTGGTATCCAAATAAATACTTGCAAATAGCTCGTATTGTTTGGGGCGCTTATCAACGCATTGTATTGGTACGCGACCGATGCCTTCTTAACTCTCTCCTCAATGTTTGGCTTCCAGGAAAGTTTTCTATCGAGGATGAGCCCTAGGCATTTCACTTTCTCAGCAAGTTGAAGAAGTGAACCCCCGAAGGAGTTGAGAGGCACATTTGGTATCTTATACCTCCTGGTAAATAAAACCATTTAACCATAAGAACCACATCATCAGAGTAGGCTGTCACCCGACAGCCTTGCGTCTCGAGTTCTATAAGTAGGTCGTTTACCACCAATATTCAGAGCAGTGGGGAGAGTACTCCCTCCTGCGGAGTTCCCCTATTCACTTTTCTGGTTGTCTTGGCACCACCCCACTACGCTGCGACAATTCTGTCACAAAGAAGACTAAAAATAAGGTGCTTGAGGTGCGATTCCACCTCAAAATTTTCGAGGGCCTTAACCACTGCCTCTGGTCGCACGTTATTGAAGGCCCCCTCGATGTAGAGAAAGGTGCCCACAGCAAATTCCTTGTGCTTGAGAGCTATCTCCAGCCATGACACTACATCATGCAAAGCAGTTTCGACCGACCTGCCTTTGATATATGCATGCTGCGCCCGTAACAGTTTACCCCTCGGTATTCTGCTCCTAATGTACAGATCCATAAGCTTCTGTAATGTTTTCAACAGAAACGAGGATAGGCTGATGGGTCTGAAATCTTTTGCACCGACGCGAGAGCTTTTGCCGGCCTTCGGAATGAAAGTAACCTTAACCTGTCTCCACACCTGCGGGACATGGCCTAATCTGACACAGTTCGCGTAGATGGGGGCCAGCCAGCTCAATGACATCTTAATCGTACGCTGTAATTGCGCTGGAATAATGCCATCGGGCCCCGGGGACTTAAAGCGTTTAAAGGATTTCAACGCCCAGGTAAGGTGACGATCGTCCAGAAGGTCCAAGAAGGCTGTGCAGCCCTCCTGCAGCTCCGGCAGTGGCACTTCTTCAGCAGAGTGATTTAGTGGAAAATGAGCATCCAGGAGTAGTTTCAACGACTCCTTACTGCTCGTTGTCCAACTACTATCTGCATTTTTTAGATACTGGAGTAGAATTTTTTCAAGAATGCGCCTGAATCGTGAGGACTCATGACAGCCCTCTACACTACCGCAGAAAGCTCTCCACGAAGCTCTCTTGGCTTTCTTCAACTCGGACTTGTAGATGGCCAGTCCGGCCTTGTACAACGCCCAGTCGTCACTAGAGCCGCTTTTGCGGGCTTTGTTGAAAAGTCTTCTGCTCGAAGATCTGATCTCCGTTAGCTCTGAAGTCCACCAAGGGAGTTTCCCTTTGATTTTCTGAATTCTCAGAGGACAGGAGCTGTCAAGAGTAGTTCTACTAACAGAGCTGAAAATCTCGACCAGCTCATCGACCGCATCCGCCGATAGGATCGAATCCCTGTCGGGTGCGGTTGGAAGAGCCGGGCGTGAGGCTTTTAAGTTGAAACCAATATATTTATGATCCGAGAATGAATGGTCGTCTAGAACCCTCCATTCCGAAATCAAGGGAGCAATTTCCCTAGAGGCTAGCGTAACGTCAAGGACTTCCGTCCTGCTAGCAGTCACAAAGGTAGGTCTGTTCCCCCTATTACATATAGAAAGATCTACACTACAAATAAAATCAAAAAGTGACTCAACTCTTGCGTTAATGTCCGAGCTCCCCCAGACGGTGTGCCTTGAATTAACATCCGAGCCTATTAAAACTCCGTCCTCTTTGCGCCTGGCCTCTGCCAGAGCTCTTCTCAGCAGGTACGGCAGAGTTCTCCAGCACTGTCCTCCAGTCTAGCAGCGACGACAACCTCATTGCTGAAATTAGGCAAAAGAAAAACGTTAAGTTCGTTCCTGATCAACAAGCAGGCTCTGGTTCTACCTGTACTGTTTGCCGCCAGGGGCTTGTGGCTTTTTGTCCTTAGACCAGAGATACCGTTTCTGCTCGGCCACGGCTCCTGGATAAGGACAACGTCGGCTTGTCCCGTCCTAGACGAAGCACTAGATCTGCGGAGGCCGCCTTTGAGTGCTGGAGGTTAATTTGGAGGATCCTCATCCTCCAAACTCCTCTCCAGCAGTGCGAGTTGCGCACCATCATCCGTACTATCGACCCCAGCATCCTCGAACAGGCACTCGAGACTGAAGATGGATCCATCATCGCCTGACGATCCGCCCTCCATGCTCACCATATTCGAGAGGATGGGGTCGATGTCCATTTTAGAGTGGCTCGCTCTCCCACTCTCTTCCACCTCAGCTGGTGGCAACGGGCCATCAGCCCTGGCTTCAGTTGGGAGAATCCTAATTACGACCCTCTCGAAGCCATAGCTTATGACCCCCTTTGCAATGCTGAGAGGAGCGAGGGACTCCTTGTTTAGGAGTATCAGCGCACGCCGATATGGTTCCTCGGTCCTTTCCAGCCTAACCACCTTTCAATCTTGGGTGGGAAGAGATGGATTGCAGTACCGCAATATCTCCTCAATTTCGGTCGGGGTAGAGGGCTCGGCCGGAAGCCAGACACGAGGACGAGGTCACATCGGAAGATCCGATTTAGCCACCGCCTCGAGCCTTGCTCCCTTCCATACTTCCCCCCCCCTGGCTACCGCCTCCTTATAAAGGAATGCCGACCGTTCGTCGGCACACCTTATAAGCTTGTGTAAGCCGAGGTTCCACCCGGCACTCTCACATCTAGGGGGTGGTCCAGGGCTTCCCCTGACCACCTTCATGAACACAGCGGAGATAGCAGCCGCTACCCGCTTCCACTCATCATGGGAGATGGCTCCATCTCCTCTGCTGCTATCGTATACCCCGAGCTCTATTGAGCTGGCGAGTTTAGCGATTTCGCTAAACATCGGTGCCACTCCGACTCGAGGCTTCTTGCCGAGGGAGGATTCCCCCTCCTGCGACCTCTTTCGCTTCATCGAGGTGTGGGGTTCGCTTGGCCCCACCTTCGCGTCATTGACGTCGCTTAGCCCCTTTTGGCCCACTCAAGTGTGCTAGCATGCTGATCAGATTTCTGGTCAGCCTGCTTGCCACCGTAGCGCTCCAAAATCTTGGTAGCCAGCCGACGGTCCGACTTCAGCTTTTTAGCTGTGGTCAGGCGTTTCCCCGCGGAACCCTTAGCTTTCGCCGAGGTCCCCGCGCCCCCCATGTACTTAACAGAGGTTCCTCTGCTAGTGCTGGTGATTCCGCCGCACACTTCTGCCCTGCCTAAGGTGTCAGTCGGCAGATTCCTGCCCATTCCCCCCGCATTACCGCCCCTAGTGATGGTAAGCCGGGCACGCCCGGAATTTTTCTTCTCACCCTTAGGCGGAGACGGTTTCGTTCCCATAGGTGGGGATGCCCCCCAGGGAACTGTCCACTTTTGAAGAGGTCAGTTTCGACCCGCTTCCTCCCTCGTCCTTGGTTATAAAGTTGTTAGCATTCATTGTAATTGGGTCCCCACTCAGAGCCGCTATCCGTCTTCTGGAAAGGTAGTCGCCTATAAATGGTCCCAAGGTTGTCTCGGTTACGAGGCCAAGGCGAGGGTTGACGTGCGCCTTTATGAGGCAGTGCGTTCAGAGCCGACCAGCGCAAAGAAGGAGTCATCTCAACAAACACCTACCACACCAACTTAATGATGACAGGAGGGGAACGTACTCTGAGGCCTGCCATGGTTTTAACGGGACGGAGGCGGCCTTGGCATTAGCCCATCAGCCATTTTTGCAGGGTGTCACCCCTGCATACTCAGGTGACAGAATACCACGACCACCAGCCCAGGGTTCAAACCGATCCATCTAAGAGTCCAAGCTATGTCCGTGTCGAGCAAAGGTCAAATCCGTAGGAGTTCTAGAAAAGGCGTGAATGCCGCAGGTCATTTAGCGTTACCCAGGATGCCCCGCGTGCAGGCGAACCTGCTCTACATCCCCATAGCATTATTCTGAAATTTCTCTGTCGCAGTGAGAAAAAGCGCAAAATCGGACTCATATGACACACTTTTAAATTCCATCTGATTCTTTCACTTTCCCGTATACAAATTAAGCACCAATGAATTTATCGAGATGTGCCAGCTTATGACCAAAAATTATCCAAATCGGACTAAAACTGTTCAAGCACCCAGTTATCGAAAATATGGACCCCAGTACCGATTGCGAACTTTTTAGCGAAAATATGAATCAATCTGTGAGATATATCATAATATGCCTGAGTGCCAAAAATGCGTTGAATTCTTAATTAATTTTCTTGAGTTTGTGTATGATCATCTCTTGACATTGTATCGGACTTCTATATAACTTCTTCATTTAGTGTTACAAACCGATAAGATCGCGCACTATAAGCGATTCGTGAACTTTTTTCTGTTTTTCCAGAAGATCTCCATACTCTTCTGTTATATAGTTTCTTGTTAATATTTTAAGCTCTTGGATATGTATGTTAGATGTATTCTTCCTTTATATCATAGTATATTTTATCAATTTCTTGATAGAAATACTTTGACATTTCTGTTGTATACAGATTTGCAATGTCAAGGCATAGCGTTTCCAAATATTGTAATTGGTATACTTTGGCTTATTACTGGTCCCTCAAAACTTAAATGTCCATTTCTTCTTGGAAACTTTTAATACTTCTTTTAAAAAAGGAGAGCCACGGAAAAATATTTCAGAATTGTAAAATATTTTAAATCGACCCCACGCTCAGCTTGCATCAAAGGGTGTCGTCGCAAATAAAATTGCAATCTGTAACTTACGTTCCGCAGTCACACACTGCCAGAAACTTTTTGACGGGCTGTCCAAATATAATTCTCAAGATGGGCAGATGTGGTTCCCATACCCGATATGACAAAGCAAAAGCTTTAATCGTTAATTGGATTGCAAGATTCGGAGCTCCAGCCGTCATTACATCAGATCGAGGTCGTCAATTCACATCCACCCCTTTCGACTTCGCAGGCAAATGGAATTGTAGAAAGATGACATCGAACGATAAAATCACCAATTTAATGCATCAAATAAAATACCTCCCATACGAGGATTTATCTTCACTGACCCGCGAAACCATATCAAGTGGGCAAGAACGTCTTACAGTAACCTTCATTACAGAGAATTTACTATCATAAGCGATCGCCCAGCCTAGAGGGATATACTGTGGCAACTTCAGGCTACATATATGTTGTACAATGCTTTACTACGTTTTTACATCTTAGTTTTAAGCAACTTTATTCTTCCCTTTTTTCTCACGGACTCCGAACTAATCAGACGTGCCGGCAGCAGCAACCATCAGCATCAAACATTTTATTTAGAGTGTGTATAAGTATACTTTTTTGTGATTGAAACAAATAAATAGCAACTTTTGTTAACACAACAATATACAAAGTATATGAATATATGCATGTTCTTAATCTAAGTAAATATGATTATATTGAATACATGCGTATTGTATGTAAATGCAAATACATTTATGTATGTGCGTACATTTTGTACTGTCTCGGCATTGTCCATGATAAGCATGTTCAAAGATATTTGAAAATATCGCCGAGGGTAAGAAATTATTATTTTAAAATTAATTTAGGCAAATATATTAATAAATTCGTGTTCAAAGTTAATGAAACACTAATAAAAATGTAGCTTTGTGCATAAAATGAATAAAATCGTGAAAACTTGCCCTAGCCGCCATATTTTTTTTACTTAGGTTTTTCTATATTTTTTATTTTATTTTTACAACTGTACCTGGTATATAAAAACAAAATACTAACAAACAACTCTTTTCTAATTAAAATAAAATACTTAAAAGCTAAATGTTAATGAAATACATTTGCTGCTATTGTTCTCTTGCTAGGTCGGAAGGCTTTTTGCGTTTCAAACGGATTTCTGTCCCAGCAGTTTCGATGAGTCTGGAAGCCTCCTCATTTACATGCTATCTAAGCCTCATTTCGTGAGACTTGGCAATGTTGAGTATTTCATTTACCACCGAAATCACGCCTAGATCACGGTGAAGGTCAGCAGATCTAACGTACCAAGAAGCATTAACTAAAGTCCTTAGTGCCTTACTTTGAAAGCTCTGAGTGCAGACAATAGAGCTTTGACTTGAGCAACCCCATAGTTAGGCTCCGTAGGCCCAGACTGGCTTTAGAACTTGATTGTATATTAACAACTTGTTTTGGACTGATAAACTGGATATCCTGCAAACTAAGTGGTAAAGCTTAGCAAATTTCGTATCAAGCTCACATTTTTTTGACATGTTCTTTCCGGCGAAGCTTAGCATCTAAGGTGATACCTAGGTACTTAGCACTGTTATACTATGTTCGCACCGACACAAAATTCGTGTTTTCATAGACAAAAGAGGTTTTCAGGCGAAAACTTGTGTTTTCATCTATACAGAATCTGTCAAACGAAAACACGGTTTTCGCTGAAAACTTACGTTCCACTCATTATAATCGATGCCTGCTCTAGTTTAATCGATATTATTAGAAGACTGACAATTTTGCCAGCCCTAAATGTCAGTTGACAATTTGTTTACATTCCATAATTGGCCTAAACGTACTCTACAAGAAACTGCTGATGAGTTCACCAATCCACTCACATTTGATATGTCAGTACTGTTAATTTACATTTGCATTTTTAAATTCAGAACTATCCACTGATTGGAGAAAGACGTACGCAGAGCTATTGAGAGGAGGAGATGGAAACAAGTGAAAATTTATTTTTATATTTTCATATGTTATTATATTTTTTGTTGCATTCCTTTTTACATTTAAGTATATTATTATAACAAATTTTTATTAAAAGTTTGAAATTTATTAAAGAAATATAAATTATATTATCTACTGCGCAAAAGAATTTTTCACTACAGATAGCGTTTCAGTCATAACTGACAATTTTCAGCTATGAAGGATTTATGGTCAGCAATGACTCAGAAAAAGACATGAGAGTGAGCAGTATAGATATATAGTGAATCAATTCCGAATACCCATGCGTTAAAGAGAGATGCAAACTCACACACATATCTTTGTTTACATCAGTTTTTGCACAAGGCTCTTAAGAAAATGATAGAAACATTGTTCTGCGCGCTGACAAAATTTTTTCAGCTATGACTGTCATATTATCCATCAGATGACCGTCACTGTTCTTGTAGGGTACATAACAAATGTAAACAAGTAGATGTGTGAACTGTTAATGAAAACTCATCGAAAACACACAATGTCGGTCGGAACGACTTTGGTTCCACAATCCACAAATTGTGTTTTCAAGAGGATTTCAATTCGGTGCGAACATAGTATAATAACAAAAATAGATAAAAACGGTTCAATACTTCCCCTATAATATAAGATTTCATATACCTAATATAAGATTTTCAAACTTTTGGTTGGCTTTATACCGTATATATCGGTCAACACGTAAGATATCTTAACAAAACTGACTGAACATATAATATATATGTGATATTGGACTATGAATTACCTGTTATTCTAACAAACCCTATGCTGAATAATCGAACCGACGATAAATTGTCAAAACCAACTAGGCAGCGAATTCGTAGTTGCCAGAATGTTCTAGTAGCGAACTTTTGTTAAGGGCTGCCGGACTGTGCAGCAAACACAGTCCTAATTAGAGTATTGCTGTTTAAAGAACAATTGAGCTATAAACAATGAGTTGTAAACTAGAACAACGAGTAATAAGTGTTAAGTTGTTGGAATTAGAAATAAAGATAAGTGTATAGCAATTAAATTGGACCTTTGTTGTATATAATATATTTTTTTAAATAAAGTTTTCCTACTCCTGAAGGTATTTCCCCAGATGAATCATTGTAAGTTGCAAAAGCATGAAATGTCCGTTTACACCCGAATTTAACCCTTCCTTACTTGTTATATATATATTTTTTTACATTCTTTTTTATAGGGGATAGCACTATTGCACACTAGCAATTATTTTTTCTTTACTTGTAAATTTTTATGAGTGCCAAATTTTGAATAATTTTTTTATTTTAATAACAATTATGTATTTGTCCTACTTTTTATTAGTATATTGGTGCACGCTTCGGGGTCCGTCGACGTTAATTGATCCTCTAGTTCGTCAGTACCCGCTTCTTCATGTTGTACAAAGTGTATAAAACACTCACACTGCTTTTGGATTTTCGGCTTTTGGCGTTCGTTTATTTCTTTAAAACTTTTTAGATTTTTTTTTTTTTCACTCGCATAGCCGTACTTTTAGATTTTCGGGCTGTATACCACTTCCGCACGCTGGTCGATGCTCGGGTGTCAATTAAAAACATTTGTTATGTTTTTTTATAAAAAAAAATATTTTGAAGGGAGCCATGCTCTTTTATTCAATTCAAAATTTCAGAATATGAACTAAAAATTACAGTTAAATATTCTTAACTTTAAACCCAAGAATGATAGAATACAAGATTAGGCTGTGACAATTGTTACAAAATCAAATTGCACTATGCCGCCATCATGTGATGTAATTATTTTGAGTTGAGAAGAAGAAACACAGCACAGCATGTAAATTGTAAACAAAAACGTATACACTTTGGTTAATTCGTGAAATAAACTTTATTAATTATTGTAGTTTTCGGTGAAGAAATGTAGTTAAATTAATATAATAATGTTGCATGAAAATATTTGGGTCATTTTCAAATGAATACATTTATCTATTGATAACATAATTGCCAATTAAGTGAATGGCTAAAAGCAATTGTGATTGCGAATGCTATATTTATTTAAATTTATGAGATTAAAATATATTAATTTTGAAAAGCGAAGTGTACAATAGCGAGCTGCAATAACTATTATGAAAATAAACAATTAAAAAGGAACTTTTTCAGTTTTCCTTCGAATATAAAAGTTCCCAAAATATGGGTAATTTTGGTAAATGTATATTATAGTTTAGGTCCCCCAACTAAGGAGGCCTCAAAAATGATTTTTTTTTTTAAATCGTCTTATTTTGACACGAATATTACAAATCAGTGAGCGGAAAGTGAATTTTTTCAACGTTTCTATTTTTTGTTCCAAAAAGAAAACCAAAAAATAACGTTTTTGTAATTTTTTTAATATATATGCAGTACAGCAAGGAGTTTGACGCGATTGAATTATGAACACCCCGGTTTTGGACCGACCAGGGTTATTTTTTTTTTGAGGCCGAAGGCCGCCAGAGCGGAAAGGAGTTCGACGATCTCCGATATTCGTCCATACTATCAGATTGCGGCACAAAAGAAATTGTGACTGTTAGGACTCGAAAGAATTACGTCACAATATCATATCGTATTACTTTGTATCAGTGATGAAAAAGTACACACAATTGTGCATTTTCCGCCTTTTTAACTGTAGTCGGCACTTTACGCACAATCGACTACTTTTTAGCAATATTTTAGGAAAGACGAAAATATGTACATATGTATACCTAAAATCTCTTCGTAGTAAAATTTTTATTTGCAACTTAAAGAATACGATAATTGAAAAACTATACAGAAAAACATCACATAAACAATTTTTATTAATAGTAAGGTAACTTCAAGAAAAGGAAGAAAAAAAGTTGACAAATAGTAATGCGGCAAGTGCGTATTTTTCGCACATTGGATAGGTAAATGTAAAATTTGCAACATGTTGCTACAGAGTACCACGCTTACTTCCAATATAACACAATTTTAATTCCATCTGATTCTTTCACTTTGCAGTATACAAATCAAGCACCAATGAATGTATCGGAAGATAATCCTTTCCTGTTAATAGTATGTATGTCAAAAGTGGGTTGAATCGAATCAAATAACTCCCTTAGCCCCATATATCTAATATAAAGATTTTCGAACTTCTATTTGGCTTTTTAGCGAGATTAGTAGTATAATATTGAATATATTATATGTTACTATAGTTTTATGCCAAAAAAATGTGAAATTGGTCGAGGAATTACCGCAACTCCCAAAAACTACAACTGTTCACGTTGGTCAAAATTAGCGATATTTTAATGAAATTAAATGGACAAGTTTTCCTAAAAATTATGTTGTTTAGCGTTTAATATGAATGAAATTGGTTTAGACCTTGGTCGAAACCTTATGTCCCTAATATAATCAATTCCTACTTTATGCGTTTTATTACGTTTTGCACATCAACTTAATATATTAAATTTAGTATCATCGATTGAGTTTATATCAGATATAGTTCATTTGAAGCTGATTTTGATATAATTTTCAGTGACGCTACTAAAATATATGAATTATATATTAATAAAACTATGGTCATGTAACGTTCAATATAAGTTAATAAGATACCAAATTTGATTGTCAACCATTCACGATTTCGTCGAGTAATGAACATTAAATTTTTTCTCAATATTTTTTAATATAAAGTTTTGTCAACATCTGAGAGTATTTCTCCGGCCTTGAGACCTTGAGCAAGTTGTAAGTGTAGGAAATGTTCGGTCACACCCGAACTTAGCTTTTCATTACTCGTTGACCATTATTTTGGCTATAGCTAGGTGAGAATGAACTTATGGAGAAAGCTTGATGTAACTAATTATTAAGTCTAGGTGACTTATTTACTGTTCGGCACTCTCAACTAAATTTCCGCACATTTTTTGAATCGAATTTGGCACAATTTAAATTGTCAAATTCCATCCCTGCTTTGTATTGTATAATATGATTCTTTTAAAATGTGTGACGTGCTAACTTACATGTATATGTTTTCCATTCAGTGGAAAATTTTTTTGCAAATTAGTACTATTCTGCCAGAAAGTTTAATTTTTTATTTTTCTTCATATGTTCAAGTCTATAGCTATATGCTATAGTGGTCCGTTATCGGACGTTCCAACAAATGAGCTTCTTAATGAGAAAAGAACAGGTGCAAAATTTCAAAGCGATAGCTTTAAAACTGAGGGACTAGTTTGTAAATATACAGAAAAACGGACATGGCTAAATGGACTCAGCTCATCATGCTGATTATTTATGTATATACTAGAAGCCCGACAGACGTTGTCCTGTCCCACGTCTTAAATGTAAACTTTTTGAAATTAGTTGTAATAATTAGACCGTTATGATGAAAATTTTTATTAGAAACTTATTACAATATCTAACGTCATTCATATATATTTATCACAATCCGACCAATCGATAGCGTGTCAATATGTATATTAGAATGCTTACAAAGATGTTAATTGTAGAAGTTGTATTGAATGAAATCTTGAAGTCCTTTTAATTGATTGTGAAAAGGTTGAACCTATTCTATAACGGATATTTATTCTTAGAGTTAATTATCTACAAAAACTGAAGTTATTGTAATGCCATAGGATGTACAATATTTTTGGTTAATCTTTGAGAGGTATAAACAAATAAATTCGATGGTTTTCCTACTCTCGTGCACGTAACGTATAATCGGCCGTGTGAAAAGCACGGATTTTTTAAATCTAACCCACAAATCGTCATTGTTTGACCTTCTGCTTTATTAATAGTCATCGCGAATGCCAAGCAGATGGGTAATTGTAAATGTTTAAATGGTAACGAGGAATCTGAAGAAATCATTGGAGTCCGTGGCAGAAGTACAACTTAACCTTGAAATTTTCCACTCAAAATAGTGGCTTCAAAAATGTTGCCCATGATTTTTTTTATGACTAATCCTCATTGGTCCTTGTGTATTTTTCATAGTATTTTATTTCTACAAAAAATGCCACGTCTTCGAGGCAGAGCAAGAAATATAAACATATTTACATATTTCTTAGTTTTGTATATTCACTATTTCCGTACAGAGTAGCATAGCAGTATGAACTATACACCATACACATGTCTATAGTCTTAATAATTTAAACTATACTTATGCTATCTTAGAATCTGATCTCAGCGCTCAGCAGGCTCAAATATACTTTTGAATATCTGTCACGACTGCAGCGCATTCTGCCGGAATTCTATGTAAAACGTTCTAACATCTGCAATGGTAGCGTAGTCTACCGGATCCAACGTAAACCATTCCAAAATGAACAACTACTGATCAATGAAAAATTAGTTAAATAAATCTTTTCCAGTGGACAAAAATGTTAATCTAAACCATCCTCGAATCTCCTTGAACTCACACAATCAGTTTCATCAAAATTGGTTCAGCCGTCTAGGAAGAGTTCAGTGACATGCACACGCGCACAAGAAATATATATAATATATAAAGATTTTATAGGGTCTCCTGCGTTTCCTTTTGGGTGTTACAAACTTAATATACCCTGTTCAGGGTATAATTAAAGTTATTTCCATAGAAGGGTATGGTTGGATAGAGGAGATTCTCCATATCAAATTTAACAAATTTTATCTTGCAATTTCTCGATTTATAGTAAGTTTTTCTTTTATATTATGCACTTATTATACACTAACACTTAACTACATTGTTTCTACATATTTATTTTAATCAATTTTTCTCATATTTGCTTTAATTTTTTACATTTTTTATTTTTTACAAAATTTTCGTTATATGTAAAATAACAAATAAGTTCTATGTTGTCAAATAATAAGTGTTGCCGTATCCATTATATATATATTATATTTTTTTTTTATTTTGCAAACGAATTAAAATTAATTATAAAAGAGGATTATACCCTAAATACGTGAACCATAATTCTTTCGGTCAGGAATATTCTTTTGAAGCGCGCCAATGCAGAAAGAAGTAGTACCCGAAAGGCACAGGGACCACCCATGTGCTGGATCGGCCAGGGTTATTTTTTTGGCCGAAGGCCGAAAATGCAGAAAGAAAATCTAACCAAACAAAAAAACCCCTTCGCAACAAATGGAGTCAATAAAACATACTTATATGCTTATAAACCCTCTTTCTTCTATTAAAATGAAAATTTAGGTCATAATATTTTGTAGAGGTATTTCTATTATTATTTTTATTTATTTTGATTGCTTTCATTCGTTTGGATATAGCAACACTTATCATTTGTCAACATGGAACCCATTTGTTATTGTACATGTAACGGAAATTGTGTACAAAATAAAATGCTTATTGAAAGCAAAAATAAAAATAATTGATATATTGTAAAATAAATATGTAGAAACGATGTAGTGAAGTGTTAGCGTATAACAAGTGCATAATCTAAAAGAAAGATTAACTATAAATCGAGAAATTGCAAGATAAATTTGTCAAATTTTCAACTTAAAATGTAAATATCTCGAAAACTATAATTTTCCGGCGGTTATAATTCTTGATCTGGAGAATCTCCACTATCCAACCATACCCTTTCTAATCCTAAAATCGTGGGATGTAATACTAAAGTTTCTAAAGTGTAAAACTAATTTATTATAATTATATATTTATATATATATATGTATATATATATTCTTAATCTTTAGAACCTTCTCTATCCGTACATACCCGCATACCCGAATCCCGAGGAATAGTATTCTAAAATTTATCCCTTATGCATTTACAGTTTATATTGAATTTCCCCAGGCAGTTTTTTTAAAATCCAGTCCCTAATATCTAAAATTTGATGTTTCTTTAATTCATGCAACGTGTTGTCGAGAGGAATAAAATTTCCATTTACACCAAGTTCTGTTAGCTTTTCGTATGTTTCTTTACCCCAATCTAGAGGCACAAGTTTATCTTTGGCGCCATGATACATCCGCAACTCGGGCAAACTGGTTCCTGCAGCTAAACTTTGTCTTAACGTTTCGTATATTATTGAATCACGGTTAAGAAAGGAAGAACAAGCAAATATGCCCGCTAAATCACAATTTAAATGATAGCCTATATGCAAGGCTAATGCACCTCCCATAGAAAAGCCGCCAATAATAATTCTGCTGGGTGATACACCAAGTTCCACTTCATTCTGAATAAGATCATTAATCTTTTCATACATTTGCGATAAACTCTTTCTGTTTTCTAAAGCCTCGATCGTAATAGCACGACGATCAAACCAAACGTGGGAAAGCTCTCCAGACAAAGGAGTATATGCTTGTACCGGGGCTGTAGGGTATATCATTTTAATGTGTTCAAAGTCCATGTGGCGCCCCAGTAAAAAACGTACCCATTCAGCAAGATTTGACCCAGTATCTCCTGAAACGATACACAAATATTATAATTTTATATCTTAAACGGAAAACAGCGATATACCTGAACCATGCAAGAAAATTACAGTACCACTATGCGCCCTAGTTGTGGGATAAATCTTTCTCAACTTTATCATTTCAATGTATAAAATTGGAAAAATCTTTGAACATATGCTATTATACAATTCCACAAAACAGGTCTACATATCTACTTGATCACAACATGCATTTCTCGAGTCACTTCGATAACAACAAAAAAACGATTATTTCTGATTATAATTTAAACACATTACGAGGCATATCGATTTGCAATAGATGTTTTCTCAAAATCTTTTGTTTTATTGTCATTGTAAACTACAATATGCCTATGTTTCTTAATATTTAATGAAATGTACATCTCGACATCCACTACAGAAAAAAACTCGGGTCGGCTTTAGTATACCGTCCCCGCTTTCGGGGATAAAATGGGTATGGGCGGATAGAGGAGATCCTCCTGATCAAGAATATATAGCCGCGGGAAACTTATAGGTTTCGAGATATTTACGTTTAAAAGTGAAAACTTTAACTATTTAAAGTACGTATTTTTGCGGTTTAAAATGAATTATACACTTATATTTTTCACTTTTATATCCACTAACATTTGACTAATTCGTTTTTAGAAATTTTTTTTACATTAGATGCTGCAAAATAAGCTTTATTTCAATATTTAATTCATTCTTCAATTTTATTAATTTTGACAATAACAAAATGGTTGTGAATATCAAAACACCAGTGTTGCCTTACTAATTTATTTTGTAAACGAAGAAAAATAAAATAAACAGAAAGATTATACCCTAGACACAGGAAACAATGCAAAATGAATTTCTGCGGGTAAAAACCTTCGTACACCCCGGTGTTGGACCGACTAAGGTTTTTTTTTTTGAATCGCGGCCGAAGGCCGCCAACGCAAAACGAAATTCTACAAGAACAAGAAATATTGTCATAGAGGGTATAACGTAATACTTAATATCAATGCTCTGTAATAGTTTATTTCTCTAGGTTTTGGATTCCTGTAACTGGGTATTACATGTTTTAATTTCTTTCAGTTCAATTGAAAAAGATGTCGATAAGGTAACACTGGTTATTTGACATTTTGTTATTGTCAGTACTAATAGAATTTAATAATAATTTAATTATTGAATTAAACTTTTTTTGCACTATATAATGTAAAATAAATGTGTACAAACGAATAAGTGAATTGCTAGTGGGTATAAAAGTGGAAAAAATAAGTGTATAATTTATTTGAAATCAAAAGAATGCGTAATTTAAATAGTTGCAATTTTCAATTTTAAACGTAAATATCTCGAAAACTATAATTTTCCCGCGGCTATATCTATATATATTCTTGATCTGGAGGATCTCCTCTATCCGCTAATACCCATTTTATCCCCGAAAGCCTGGGACGGTATACCAATTTTCCCCGATATATTGAAAAAATTTACTTTCACGGATTTATTTATTATTGAGGTCTCCTTAGTTGGGGGACCTAACTCAACTTTTTATATGAAATGTGTACACACTTGCATGCATATGTCTTTAAAATATAATATAGATAAACTGCCAGAAGCAACTAGACAGCGAATTCGTGGTTGCCAGAATGTTCTAGTGGCGAACTTTTGTTAAAAATTTACTATATAAGGGCAGCCGGATTGTGCAGCACAGTTCTAATTAGAGTGTTGCCGTGTAAAGAGCAATTGAGACATAAGCAAGAAGTTGTGAACTCGAATATCGAGCAATAAGTGTTAAGTTGTTGGAATTAGAAATAGAGATAAGTGTGTAGCCATTAAATTGGGACTTTTATTTAACAATCCAGTGATCGAACTCAAGAGTGAGTTACAGGTAGACGATTTATCGAGAAATCCATTACAATTGGTGTCAGAGGTGGGATTGTCAAATAAATTCCGAAGGAGATAATTATTTGAAAATGGCCAAGTTTAACGATCTGAAGAGTCCACAACTGAAATAGCAGCTGGAGCAACGTGGGTTGGCGACAAATGGATTAAAAACTGAATTACAATCGCGGTTGAGAGAGGCCATAGAGGCGGAAAACGTTAATGTTGAGGAATATTTCTTTCATATGGAATTAGAGGAAGAGACAACAAAGATGGAAGAAAAGGAAGAGGCTCAATGCTCGTCAAAGATTGTGGACATAAACATGATGTTTGCTGCAATAATGCAGATGGGGAAAGGGATGTCAACGCAAATTTCAACGCAAATGTCAACGCATATGTCGACACAATTTAAAGAGCAGGATACACGTATATCTCAAATGTCAACGCAAATATCAACAGAAATATCAACACAATTTAAAGAGCAGGATGCACGTATAACCCAACAAATAGCAGAGGTTTCATCACAAAGGTTGGCACAACAATCCCAATTGTCCTCGTTAAAAATGCTGTTGGAAGAGCCGTTCGCAGCGCAAGATGCACGTATATCATCACAGATGTCCACACAATTGGAAAGCAGTTTGCAGCGCAAAATGCACGTATATCAGCACAGGTGACCTCACAAATAGCAGAAGTGTTCTCATAGATTTCGGAAGAGCGATATAAAAATAAAACTGAAGTGGATGAATTGAGAGATCGTCTCCGTGAGCTACAATTAAATCGGTCAATTGTGTCAACAGCTTTTGTCAAGGTAAAACCTCCATCCTTTGATGGCACTGTTCCGTTCTACGTTTTTAAGTTTCAATTCGAAAAGACTGCATCTTTAAATAATTAGAACGCTGAAGACAAAGTAGCTGCATTGTGCGTTGCATTAAAAGGATCTGCAGCGGAGATATTACAGACCATTCCAACCTGCGAGGCGAGTAGTTATGAAACGTTGATGGGTGCATTAAAAAGATGGTATGGTAGTGAGCACAGGACGCAGATCATTCAAATCGAGTTGCGAAATCGCCACCAGAAAGCCAATGAGTCTCCGCAGGAGTTTTCTACAGAGATTGAGAGGTTAGCTAACATATTATGCACATAAATCCATGGAATACATCGATTACACGAAAATTCAGACTTTCGTCAATGGAATACGAGATAACACTACACGCCTCGCTGCATTAGAATGTCCAAAATTGACGTTTGCAGAAACCGTTTCGTATGCTCTGACACAGGAAACTGCACCTCTGCTTTGCAATGACAAAATAGAAATAGAGCAACACACTTGGGTGAACCATTACTTGAAAAAATTGACAACATACAGAAAGCACTGGAAAAATCTACGGAAGCGCATTAGAAAAATTATGGTGTGCTTAAATGCTTCAACTGCGGAAAAAGTGGCCATATTGCACGCAACTGTAACCAGCCCAATAATCCAGTTGGACGTAAACGCAAAGCTGAAGAAGATCAAGCAAATGTCAAATTCTTGTTAGTTCTCGGAAAGGTAACGTGCGAGATCATAATTGGAAAGGCAGCCGTGTTACACAATTTTATAGTGGCAGATTTCGTTGACGAAGTCATAATTGGAGTAGACTTTCTAGCTAATCAAGGAAAAAAAATCACTACAAAGAGCCAGCAGATTCCACTAACATCAGACTGGGATCCGGAGAAGCTACGGAAATGTCAGCAAGATGATCCAGATTCGAAAAGTGTAATACACGGATTGGAGATGAATAAACGTCCAACGAGAGAAGAAATAGCTGCAGAAAGCTCAGTCGCAAAGGCTTATTGGGCACAATGGAATAGTTAGAAGTTAGTGTCTGGCTCCTTGATCGCGTATGGGAAAGCGAAGATGGGCAAAGTTCACGATTATGATTGTTCCAAAGTAAAATTCCTGAAGTTCTCAACGAGCTGCACAACGGTCCGCTGGAGGACATGGGTATCACTAAAACCTTGGAGAAATTAAACAAAGCTTTATTGGGTTGGTTGTCGTCAATCAGTTACAGAGTGGATCGCCCATTTGAGTGCATTGCTGCTAAAGGGCGGTACAGAGAAGTCGGTCAGATGAAGAGTACAATTCAGGTGCGCCGTTTGAGCGAGTAGCCATGGATGTAGCTGGTCCATTCCTATCAGTAAATTAGGAAACAGATATGTTTTGGTAGTCATGGACTATTTCAGCAAATGGCAGAGGTATACACCTCTAACCAAGCGGCAGGAACAGTAGCGGATGTATCTATCAACTGGGTATCGAGATATGGTGTTCCAATAGAATTACATTCTGACCAAGGAGAAATTTTGAATCAGCTCTAAAAAAGGAGATATGCGAAGCTGGGTATCCGGAAAACCCGTACAACTGCACTACATCCGCAGTCCGATGGCATGGTAGAACGATTCAATGAACTTTGAATATTTGAGGAAAGTTTTGGACAAGTATCAAAAGATTGAGATACCCATATATCCTTGTTCCTGATGGTTATCCATCTGCTGTATGAAACAACAGGGTAGACTCCAGCAAGGGTAATTTTGGTAATAATCTCTCGACTACCGATTGATTTAAAATTTGGAATTAACGCCAACGGAGGAAGGAAGACTAGAGTTAATAGCATCCTAGAAGAGAGAGATTAGGGATATACATGATATGGTGAGACAGCGCACCAAAATTATGAGCGATAAGATGAAAGAAAATACGACAAGGCAATAACTCTAAGGGTTTTATTGAAGGCGATTGTATTTTTATAATCCACACAACGAAAGAAGATGGTCTCCAAATTACAGTGTAATTGGGAAGAACCATACCAGGTTATTAAACGACTCAATGATGTAGTGTATCGAATACAGACATTGAAGACAAGGAATAAATGAAGGTGGTTATCTGGAACGGCTTGCACGTTTGGTACGCAAATATGTCTAATCGGGATTTAGGTAGAGGCAGAACAATACCAGAACAAATCAGAATTGACGATAAACTGCCAGAAGCAACTAGACAGCGAATCTGTAGTTGCCAGAATGTTCTAGTGGCGAACTTTTGTTAAAATTTATATATAGGGCTGCGAATTGTGCAGCAGACACAGTTCTAATTAGAGTGTTGCCGTGTAAAGCAATTAAGCTATAAGCAAGAAGTTGTGAACGCGAATATCGAGCAATAAGTGTTAAGTTGTTGGTTGAAAAGATAAGGTATTGCATTAAATTGGGACTTTAATTTAACAATCCGAGCTAGAGAGTTACAGTGTAGATTTATCGAGAAATCGTTAATATTTTAACATTTACAAAAATAATAATTTTAATTCATTTAAATATCTGCAAATTTGACGAATAGTTCTCGAGCTAAAATTATTACCGTTATTAAACTTAATTAATATTAACTATTCTAAAGCAATACAAACATTTACAAAAATAAGACAATATAGTATACATACAAATATAAATGTTAGCATAAAATTATTGTAAAAGGAAAATGTATTTTTAATTGATATATGTATAAATTATGTATATATATGTATTATTTAATAGAAGCCTAAATTATTTACCAAAACTTTTAAATTATTATAAGAAAGAAAATTAGTTTGGAAAGTATATATGTATATACAAATGCTAAAATTGCTTAGATATTGATGATAGAAGTCAACGTAAGTTTAAATATATTTATACTAGGTATAGAGCTACAAGCAAATATTGACCGATTTTAACCATTTTGGCAAAGGGCAAAAGTACAAAATATTCTCCTGAATTTTAATACAGAACTAAAGAGTGAACGATATGTTCCGAAAAATCAGACAAATGCACTGGGTTCAGATATTTGGTGTCTTGGTTCTTGCTAAGTATACCCGA